GCACACACACACACACACAAACACACAAGCACACAAACACACAAGCACACAAGCACACAAGCACACAAGCACACAAACACACAAACACACAAACACACACGCAACAGCAGCAGCAGCAGCAGCAGCAGCAGCAGCAGCAGCAGCAGCAGCAGCAGCAGCAGCAGCAGCAGCAGCAGCAGCAGCAGCAGCAGCAGCAGCAGCAGCAGCAGCAGCAGCAGCAGCAGCAGAATGCAGCAGCAGCAGCAGCAGAATGCAGCAGCAGCAGCAGAATGCAGCAGCAGCAGCAGCAGAATGCAGCAGCAGCAGCAGCAGAATGCAGCAGCAGCCGCAGAATGCAGCAGCAGCAGCAGAAGCAGAATGCAGCAGCAGCAGCAGAATGCAGCAGCAGCAGCAGCAGCAGCAGCAGCAGCAGAATGCAGCAGCAGCAGCAGCAGCAGAATGCAGCAGCAGCAGCAGCAGCAGCAGCAGAATGCAGCAGCAGCAGCAGCAGAATGCAGCAGCAGCAGCAGCAGCAACAGAATGCAGCAGCAGCAGCAGAATGCAGCAGCAGCAGAATGCAGCAGCAGCAGCAGCAGCAGCAGCAGCAGCAGCAGCAGCAGCAGCAGCAGCAGCAGAATGCAGCAGCAGCAGAATGCAGCAGCAGCAGCAGAATGCAGCAGTGGTAGCGCTGGGCACGGGGCGCATTGACGAGTTGAGACGATCGAAGCTTGGCGCCTGCCAGGAAGCGGCGCCAGGCGTTCTCCAAGCGCTTCACCTCCTGGCGCTGGAGCTCCATTTCCTGCCGAGCCGCGCCGCGCCAGGCCCGTTGACCAATGGGGCCTTTGGATGGCGCCTTTGGTGGGATCAAGTTGGCCTTGGGCGGGCGATCTGCAAAACGTTCTTAAGATTTGGAACAAAACAGAAAGAACAAATGCGTCTCGAAAGGGTAGACTGAGAAACTCTCGCCCCTGGAAGGCACAAAACCTGCAAGGACCAACATGACGTTGGATGTTGCAAACGCGGCCGTGTAGACTCTCTGTTTTCAGCGAACATCTGCTCAATGCCCTGGAGAGATGCCACCCATGTGCACACGCTATGCATTCAGCTGTGGCAGTTCTGGAGCCTCAAACAAGAAGTCGATTAAAGTTGCCTTTCAAATGAGCTGCTAAGCTCATCACGCCCTTGCTACCAGTGAAGTCGAGCAGAGCGCGGCGGAAGTTCCAATGGCATAAGCATGATAGCTGTAGTTTGGAGATCGGTTCGCCTGCCTTCTCTTTCTAGATCACTTCTGCAGCGCCTCCGAATTGAGCTAGCTCTGCTTGAGTACGCGTGCAACGCATGCACTTGCGCGGGGGTCGCAACAACCGTAAGAGCTGTGAAAAAGCTGAGGAAACCGCGAGAGCTGCGGAATAGAAGCGGGCCGAAATCGTGGCCCTGTGCATGAGTTCGGCACCTACGCATTTGCCCCAAGTGGTCGCTAAAAATGCTGCAATTCAAAACTAGGGATCTGTCATTGGAGCCAGCCTGACGTCAACGCAACTCTTTGTAGTGGGCGCGTTGGCTCTGCGCCCTACCAATGCTCCAATTGACATGGACACGTAGGGAAAATTAAATAATAATCAGCTTCAACCGGGCTCTCAACAAGGTGGCAAGCCAAAAACATACACCCACACACACACAAAACGGTCCTGGTCTTTCTCGAGTCATTTGTGTCTCACTGCACAACAACGGCAAAGTGACAGTGTGCTCGCTACAAGACGGCACCTTAACCCAGTGGCCCTGAGCATTTGGCACCCAAAGTCTGCTCCCCCGTCAATTCAAAGAGTTCACGATGCCAAGCACCCATGAAGCCTCATGCTTGCAAAATAACAAGGCTCAACCCCCTAAAATGGCCCTCAATACTATTCAACGGTCTTGTTTGCTCAACCCATTTTGTAAGGTTTTAAAACGGCTCTACACAATGGGTGTATTAAACCTGTGGCGTGTCCCCCTCTTCTCTATTAAACGAAGCGTTTACAGGGAGGTCAACCTCACCCATTTTAAAGGAGATTTTAAGTGGGGCAAATATCCTTCCCAACAAAGATCGAAGTGGTCAGGGACTTGGAAGACTCCAGACGGGCAGCCTTAGCCATCCTCCAGCCGGAGCCTTTCTGGAGTGCAATTCCGCCAAGGTAGGGGGGAATGCTAAACGCAGGCAATCACTGTCCGCATCCTCAAATTGCACTGCGAATGCGAGTACCACTAAGTGTGCTCTCGATCAACTTGATGGAACATAGTCCACGCACGCATGCCGGGAGAAAAAACCTTAACAAAAACTAGCAAAAACCAACATGGCGCCTGAAGCACACCGGACCATATCTCGATGAATCGACTAAGTACCTCAAACGCAAGGTCCAAACACCGGCCATGCGCTTCGCATGAGGCACGCCTGGGTGCTCCAGGCACTGGGCGGGCCATCCCGCACCAGGACCGCCGCTGCAGCCAGTCGAGCCAACTGACCGTGAGAAAGGGCAAACAATCACGCATTCTGTGGCAAGCACAAAAAACATGTCGGAAATGGTACATTCTAAAGATGTTGCTGATTTTTGGGGGAGCGAATAAAATGTCGCAAACGTCGGGTTCAACCATAACCCTGGATAGGCCTCTGCACTGTTCCGGGCACGTCCCCGCTCGAGACGAAACATGTGATGAACGTGCAAAAGGAACGGATTCCTGAAACGCAAGCCCTGTGAGGAGAATGGCCAAGTGTGTCTACAAAAAATAGCTGTCTGCACATGCAGTAGCAATGGACTCCTCATCGGATTTCGGCTTGCAAACTCTGGGTCTGGAGCTTCAAGAAGCGGAAGGCAAACCAAAGGACATAGTCTATTTTCGGAGGGTCATGGTTTTGATGCATACACCTATCCTGCAAATTGCTGCGCATGGACTGCAGGGTTTGTCATTGCTTCGCATGCAGTATCACCTGGCTCAGAGTTGACCATGTCAGTCCAAAGGCTTCGAAAGAATTCTCTGCCACGAACGCCAAGCGCATGAACATAGAGCAACCGCCTACCACCGCTCTCAACTACAATTTCCTTCTCTTGCAAAGCGGAAGGTGTGTTGAGGCGCTCTCCAGTTTGAACAGGGCTAGCGTACTCACGGTAGCTACTTCGTGGTAGGGATCGCTCCACCCGTCGCGCCTGGGGGTCATCGTACGACAGCTTCAAAAGATGCCTTGCGGCAGCTGCGTGACGACGGAATGGGCCAAATGGCACTTGAAGTGCGCCGGTTATCCACGTGCAAGTGGCAGAACAGCTTTGCGGCGCCATTTGGCCAAACGCTGAGCACGAAACAAGGGGTTCCTCCTTGGGAATGACGCAACAGTTAAACCAACCCATCCGTAAATTGCGGCAGCTTCAGGAGCAGTTCCAACGGCTTGTTTGAAGACTAAGTAGACTGGGGTAATGTTAACATTGGACAAATAAATAACACGGACTGAGGCGCTTGTTTGGGATCCAATGCTAAACAAGTCTAAACTCTGACGAGGGGTTTTCAGGAGCACCCCTATCAAGTACGGCATGTTCTCCAGAACCGTTTTCCCGCATCAATAATCCGAAATCAATTCTAGCCCAATTAAACGATCTACCACTTTATCTAATGTCCGGACGCGTCCTCAACCCTGCGGCCACCTACAACATGCCTTCCCCCGCAGCACACTCCGATTAATCTGAGGTTTGACATTCTCGGGGGGAAGGGGGGGGAAAGGGCAGGGATTGTTATCCAACGCTAACATTTGTCTCTTTCCAGAGGCCTGAGCTGCACATGTTCCCGCCCATGGATGGCAGAAGTTGGAACCCGCGCTGACTGTGTTGTCCCATCAAATCGCGACAAACATAAGGATCTGCTAGAATTTGAGCTTCTCCAAGACTTGAACAAAACATCCCTTCGGGTCAGGAAGTTCCCTGCCATTCGCAGTCCTTCCAGGCCTGATCAAGGACCGCATGCTGTGTGCATTGAAGTCGCCAGGCATGGCCGAGCGAGCGATAACAAACGGGTTTTTCTGCCAGCACGAAACGCCGGTTCGTGAAGCTGCTAATGCCTTTCGTGCTGGGGTCTGCCTCTGCCTATGCATCACTCATTGTCGTTCCTTAGCATAGTACTTTGTCAAGTGGGATTGTCAAGCATCAAAGCACAGCGTAAGATGCTACATGTTGAGTTCATGATCTGATATTCATATCATCTGATTCTTCCCCACTCTGTGCAAGCCTTGCCAACCCTTGAGCCAGGCTGTGTTTTTTGTGGCGAACACAGCATTCGTGCCGCCAGGGCAGGCATTGCACTGTTGGCGGCCACAATTCAACATCATGCGTGGGAGTGGCAGCGTCAAGGCGGCCTCTCGATACTCAATACCTTCTTCAGATCTGCCAACGCTAGTCAACCATGTGCATGACCAGCAATTTTTCTGGTGCTTGTTTTCTTCGTAAAATATGCTTTCAACGTCTGGCACTAGCAGCCACCCAGGGCTCACAAAATCCCCCATGGATTTTCGGGAAAGCCGAGCGACTGCTGGGCGCTTTCCGAATCTTGCGCTCCCTACCCGGAACCTTGCGGAACGCTCCAAAAAATCCTATCAGCCTCTTGGAACCGGACAACTCCGGGAACCTTTCAGAACCTCGATCAACCGGTGTGCACAGGATCCTTTCCAAACCTTCTTTGAAACCTATCCATTGGTCCTTCAGTGATCATCAGCCACTCTATATGAAACCGCAAAATCTTCCGGAACCTTCCATCCAGCCACACCTTCCTAACCCCGCCAACCCTGCCCTAAGCGCTCCAGACCTTCCCGGAACCCTCCAACCCAACGGAGTAGCTCCGGACCGGCGAACCTAATAAATCAGGCGCCACAAAAACCCGGTAGCATTGGATTTGCAGAGACTTCGCGGCTCTCACAGTAATTTCCTGCCCCAGCCGCAGACATTTATTCTCCTGGCGCTCCCCAAAATCGCTCCACCGCTCCGAACCGGGCCGAACCGGGGCCCGTCTCAGCAGCTGCAGACGCAGGCCTCGCTGAAGACGCGGTTCCCCGCTTGCCCACTGACGTGCAGGTCTGGGCACTCATAAGTCATTGGCCCGACCTCCTCCAGCTGCAGCTCATCTGTGTTGAGGTCGCTGGGCTCTGTCCTGCAAAGCAATTTCTCGAAATAGGGGATCCCGTGTTGCGCCTTTTGGGTGGTTTCACAACGAAACAAAAAGGAAACACCTACCTGGAGGTGTCCCCAATTTTGAGAAACAACCGGATACGGACAGTCACTTCAAAGAAGCTTTGGCCTCCGTGTGGGACCGGCATGACACGCATGTGCTCAGCCCAAATGAGAATGGTCCACACATATTTGTTGTAAGTGCGGTCATAACGTTAGCCCAGCCGTTTCATGGGATAGACCGCATCAGGTAGAGACATGTCCAAACACGTCACTCTAGAATGAGGATGCTTGAATGAGGTGGAGAGAATGTTGCGCCTGTTGTTTGACCAATCCCTAGAGCAAGAACTTCGCTCTGCAAGCAAAAACAAGCTGCCGCATCGCATCCAAGCTTCATGCATTGGCCTTCAGGAATCTGCTTTTCATACTTGCCCTGCCCTGCCGGACAAGCACGAGTGTACTCATACTTGATGCATTGGCTCTTGTATTCCTGAGTGTAAGTAGTCCACCGATTGGTTCTGTATCTCGGTCGGCAGGTCGTAACCTTGCCAATTCGGGTGCAAGTTGTGCCGGCACGAACCCTCTTGCTGTGGGAGTGTGACTTGACAAACTCCACCATCTTCTGCTGAACACACCTCCGGCTCCACTGATCCATCTTCGCCCAGTTGAACATCATCTCCGATTCGTTTGCCTCTGTTTTAGGATGGTCAACTGCTTGTGCATCCGGTGCAGAGATGGTTGTCGGCATGTCCTGCTCTCGCTGCTCACTGTTTGTCGGCGGCATCGAAACGCTCCCCGTCCAGTGACCATGCTCTGAACGCCGTGTGTAGTTTCCTGCGTGGGTGTGTCAGAAGCTAAGGATCCCAAGCAAAGGCATCAAATCAGTGGTGAAGGCGGCAAAAATATCTGCATGCTGGTCGGCCGTGCGTTGCAGCAGTTCTGCGCTAACTCGGAGCAAAACAAGCCAAAGCTGGACCAAAACAACACAATAGCATTTGGGCAGCTCCGGAAAGGTATGAGGCTACCAAGTTCCTGCTTAACCAGAAGGTGCAGTATACAGTATACCCAATGTTGACCTCCTTTATTGTGTTGTTCAAGCATCCTCCACCCCCGCCAGTAGTTAATTGAACGTGCAGCACTTGTGCGCAATCCCTGTGAACAGTCCAGCTGTAGTGTTGCTGTCAGTAGTATATGGACTAGTACAACTTGCAGTATTTGTAGCGCAGATCAACAGTACAGGTCAGTACTTGTAGTACCCGCGGACTGGCGTATAGATCTTGTACCACTCAGTAGCGCGTGAACCAGCCGTAGCACTCGTAGCACTGGTGGAAACGGGTAGCAGTACTCTCAGCATTGATGTGTAGAACTTGTAGCTATCAAAAGAAAAGCACACAAATCGCAGCTAGCCTGCTTGCAATTAAATCAAGGCTTTGCAGTTGCTAGGATCTTTCTGGATTGAATTACAACCTTGTTTTTTGTGAATTTGGGGCTCCAATGCGATACCGCCCATCTAGCAAACCGAAGAGCACTACAAAAACAAAGCTTCGCGGACCGCGCGAATTGAAACTCTCGAGGCTGTCATATTTTGGGCGCGGACTTGTTGAATTCTGAACCGACTGTTGACTTTGGAGCTCAGGCAGGGTCTGCGGCTGAGTTTGGGACTGAGTTTCACAACCTTGCTAACCACCAGAGTCGTCTGGACTCGGCAGGCTTTCCTCGACAGTTGAAAGTTTTGATGACTCTGGGTCACTGGGTACATTGACATGTCTCGACACATGGTACGTCAATCGCGTGGCTCGAAATGAAAACGGATAGTTGGCATCGTGACACAGGTATAGTAACGATCTCTGATTTGTTTGGCTGTGGGCAAAAAGAAGGGAAATTCGACAGTTCGTGATGCCCGCAAGTTTGCTCGGCACCAGTCTAAACACAGCTGACTGAAAGCCTCTTCGGACGAAAGCAGCGCTGTCTAAAAAACCAACTTCTCAATGCCGCTGCGGGCTGTAGCGGTTAATAAATGGGGGGGTTGTACAAAATTATTTTGCCTGGGGGCCGCCAATCGCCGGCCAATCGCGATCCAATCGCGGTCCCGCAGATTCCAATCGCGGAGCTACGTTGGTCATTGCTGCTGTTTCTGTTCGCTTTTCGCTGTCTTATCTCAAGCGTTGGCCTTCCTCCATCCATACCTCTGGAAACTGGAAGGAAGTGACATAGCTCGGATGGGCCGGTCCAATCGCGGAATTCGGTGGCGCAACTTTGGTTTGCAGCTTCCAGCCTTTGCCAGTAAGCAGACTTAGACAGCACAGCCTGGGCCTGCGCAGGTGAAATCAACATACAGCGTTCCAGGAGGAACTTTTATTTGCGCGAGCCGGTGCAGTGAAAATGATCGAGACGTGCGTCGGCAGCACAATCAACACCATGCAGCGTTCAAATGCACAATAATTCCGTTGCCCTTTCGCGGTCCAATCGCCGGCCTTTCGCGGCTCGAGTTTTCCCAATCGCGCGGTTCAAAAGTTGCCGCTGTTCATAAGCTTTAGACATGCAACTACGGACGGCCCCCAAATGCGCAAACAGGCGCGTACTCACAGATCCTGTGGGTCGCTGGCAGCATCCGGCAGCGCAACTCCAAGCTAACTAGTGATTGCAGATTGCAGCACAAGATAGTGCAGCTTATAGCAAACTGATACTTCCTCAAGGCTCCTGAGGGACGCTAGACATACCAGTTTGAATTGCTTACCAAAGGCTCACGGAGGCTGAACTTTTGAGGAACCTTGTCTTACACAAGGCTCAAATCACGATTGACGTGGATGAATTGGTTCACTGACAAATCTCGATTGACGTGCATCGGCTTCAAACTGAACATGAAATACAGGGTCACTAACAAATCCTGATATAGCTACCAGGTTGACATCAATCACCAGGCTGCGATCCATGTAAGGAATCGCCCGCCTTCCACAAAGAAAGGGGCCACGTCCGTTGCAGCTCCGTCCACTGCTATGCAACTCTGCGCCGACTTGACGAGAGATTCTTGGCAACAACCTAGGCTGCAAGAGCGATATGCAACGGTCGTCTTTGCAGCACAACTACCTTGAAAGCGGCCACAGTTGTAAGCTACTCGGTACTTCCCCATCCTGCAAAAAACATCCGCCGACCCCACGTCCATGCCATCTGTGAGAAGCCTATGCAATGCAGGAACGACGCAACACGCTTCATGATTGGACAAGTTGGCAAAAAGAGGCGCTGATGGCCGCGATGAGGCGGCAAGACGGTGCTTTGGCACTGCGGTTGCGGGCTTGGCACTTTGGCTTCCGTTGAGTTGTCTCCGGCAAGGACAGGGAGTCGCCGTACGCACATGTCCGGCATTTGTGTGTTAAATTCGCACACACACACAAACACAAAACCAAAAAAGATTGACAACGCATCGACACTTTGCAAAGGGGATTCTGCTCTTCTTAAGGACAAATCTTCGGTCGTTGTCCGCTCCCTCTCTCTCTGTCGATCTCGCTCTCGCTCGCTCTCTCGCTCCCTCGCTCTCTCGCTCCCTCGCTCCCTCGCTCGCTCCCCCTCGCTTGCTCCCCCTCTCTCTCTCTTTCTCTCTCTCTCTCTCTCTCTCTCTCTCTCGTTAAATTTAGTTGTCACTTTGCTTACAAGTGCAAGTGCTGTAGTGTTCAAACAAACAGTCAACCAATGTAGTCTGCAGCTGCCAACCTTTTGACTCATGCGGAGTAGTAAGCTCAAGGCCTGCGGTAGTGAACATACATGCAACACAAATGCAGGAAGTGAAGCATGTAGTTTGACACGGCCCCTCAGTTAAAAGGTCTTTGCAGTACCTTTTCAACTGAAGTGCAAAACATGGATTGACAGTAGTGATGAAAACCATTGTTGTTCATCAATTCGTCTGTATTGGCAAAAGTAGTGACCTGCGCTCAGTAGTTCACGCTGTTCAGGTTCCAGCTCGATGTAGGGCGCTGGACGGAAGTAGTGAGGCAGGCACTTGTTGTACTGAAGCATGAGCTCAAAGATGTAGTCCCCATTTCTGGGCGCGATAGTCTTGGACCATCTGGAGTCTGTTGTCCAAGGTCGCGTGGTAATGTATGGTGAAAAATGTTGTCATGTAGTTTGGGGCTCCCCCGTAGTCGCTTGTCGTCTATCTCAGGGCACGACATGTGTTGGTCGTACTCCCTGAGAAAGCGGTGTAGTAGTGCTTTGTGATGTTGAGTGAGGTTTGTCATGGTGAGTAGTGTGAATCCGTAGTACTGTATACTCTTGCAAAGGATGGTAGTAATTGCCTTGTGCTGGAAGTCGTGTAGTTGGTCTCTGTTGTAAAGGTAGTGGAGTAGTTCAGGTAGTAGTAGGGGCATGTGGTAGTTCCAAAGGTAGTTGTTTGTGAGGCTGTAGTTGTCAGTGAAGGTGATCATGTTGTAGTTCACCTTGTGGATGGTCTGTGGAATTGGTGTAGTCGGGAGGTAGTAGTTCTGTTGTATGGACATCATGTAGGAGATGTAGTCTCTTGTGAAGTGTAGAAATTGTCCTGAAGTGAGGTACCTCAGGAGTAGTGGTTGTTCAATCTGGAGTTGGATGATGATGTAGTTGGTGTTGTCGCTGGTTGTAGTGTGGAGTGAAGTCGTGTGGTAGTAGTGGACGTTGGCTGCTTCAGGTAGTGAAACGCTGAGCAGTGTAGAGTTGTGGTGGGGCATCCGAAGGTCTCCAGAAATGCAGTGAATGGGTCGCGTGTAGTCCAGTTGTGCCAGTGGAGTTGCTTGTTGTTGTGAGAGTAGCTGATACTCTTCAAGTGTGAGCGCAGTGAAAAACTGAGTGTAGGGTGTGTTGTCGGGCAATGGTGGTGTAGTGGTTGTTGGTGCTCAGTGATGTGTAGTTGGTCCATCACTGTGGTCGGGTTGTAGTAGACCGTGTTGCCAGGTGTAGAATGGTTGAAGTGGTAGTTGGAGTCGTTGTAGGTTTGAGGTGGTGGAGTTCCGTGGTCACTGGAGTCCGTAGTGACCGCCACCTCAGGTGTAGTTGCCCTGTCGGGCGTAGTGGCGTCTCCCATCGTAGCATCTGCAGTAGATGGAGCGGCCATGGCTGCAGTGGAATGCAAAATGTAGTGAAACGGGGCAAGACAAAATGAGCCTAAGTAGTTGCTATCAGGCAGGCGGCGCATGCAGACATGTAAAACAAACAACTGTAGTGTTGACTCAGCCGCCAAAAGTGCAAATGAAACTACATGTAGTTGCTGTTACTTGCATACCAAAGGTGTCGTGTTACATGTAGCTACTTACATACAAGAAATGTCCAAAGTCGTTGTTGTTGTTGTTAAACTGCTGCGCTGGCCGTTCGTAGTGCTAAATGCGTATCCCAATGCTCTGGATGAGGCTGTGTAGTGTTTCTTTGCTGATGCGTTTGGTAAACAAATCTGCGCTGTTGTGGAGTGTGTTGATCTTAAGGACTCTAATGGTGTCGTGCTTGATGAGGTCTTGTGTGTGGAGGAATTTGAGGTCGATGTGTTTTGCTCGTTTGCTAGTGCCTTGTCGTGTAGCAATGCTCTTGCCTGCTGTGGAGTCTGTGTGGATGCGTAGGTTTAGCTTGCTGCAAATGTTGGTTTCAAGTAGGAAGTTTCTGAGGTGTAGTCCCTCATTAACTCCTGTGCAAATGGCGTAGAGTTCAGACTCTGCTGAGCTGAGTGCTATTGTAGCTTGTGTTCTGCTGCCAAATGCAACTGTTGTTCCTAAAAAGATGATGTTGAAAACCTGAAGTTGATTTCCTGGTAGTAGGGCATCCTGCCCAGTCGGCATCGACATGAACGTCGAGATTCAGGATGTTGTTGGTGTTTGCTCTGAGTGTTGTTGTTGGTTCTATGGTGAATTTGTAGTGCTTGGTGCCGTGCAAGTAGCGTAGTAAATGTTTGACTCTCTTTTGTGAAAGTTCTGTAGGTGCTGTGAGGTCTCGTGCTCGTTCTTTTGTGGAGTATGCAATGTCTGCTCGTGTGTATGCTAGCCAGTGAAGTTTGCCAACAATCCTTCTGTACCTTTTGTGTTGTTCGTGGTCAAGTAGTGCTTCATCTTCTATTGTTGGTTTGTAGTGTGCAATCGTGGAGTGTTCACTGAGTTGCAGTTGTTCATTCCAGACTCCTCGATCATGCTGTCGATGTAGGAGTCCTTTAGTCCAAGGTTGCAGTAGTTGCCGAAGTGGTCGATGTTTCTTCCAAGAAATTGTTGTGGTTTGCCAGGTTCGAGGTAGCCGATGTGCTTGAGTAGGACCTGCTTCTGGGCGGCCTCGAAAGTGGAGTCGACCGCAGTCTTGTCTCCAAGTACTAGTAGATCGTCCACGTAGACCATGATGCAGCAGTTGCGAGTCGCATTGGTGTAGACGTTAGGTTCTGACTTTAGTCTTACAAAGCTGAGCTTTTGTAACGCTTCAGCCAGGTAGTCCTGCCATGCTTTTGGTGAACTGCGTAGTCCATACATGGCTTTCTTTAGTCGCCAGATTTTGTCCTGCTGTGGACAAAGTTCTTTAGGTGGCCAAAGGTAGAGGTCACGTTGTTTACCGTCGTGGTCTTTTGCGATGGGTGCGTGTAGAAATGCTGTATATAGAGACGTCACCTAGTCGCGCGATCCAGTTTGGCCGTGACATTTGTAGTGCGAGAAGTGTCCGGAGTGTCGTGAACATTGGTGTAGAGGCGTAGACGGAGTCTTCGTCCTCAATCTTCTCTGTGTAGCCTTTTGCGACGATTCGGCTTCGTACTCCTGGTCCTTTCTTTCTATGTACCCATCTTGTGGGTATCGCTTCTCTGATGACGTTGTCGTCGACGGTAGACGCATCTACTTTGTCGTAGACGTCATGTAGCTTCATTTGGTTTGACTCGTGTTTCATTCCTTCCAGTAGTTGTGTTTCGTCGTAACCTTCGTTGTCGAAGATTATGGGTTGGTCTTCTGAGGTGTCGTCGTTTGTGTAGGGAGTGATGGATTTTCCGTTGGGAAGTGTCACGGTGTTGATTTTCTGTCGTAGTGGTGGTGGTTCTTTGGTTGCTTGCTCCGTTGATCTGATTGTAGTGTCCTTTGAGGTCTTCTGTGCTTTAGTTGGTTGCATTACTTTTTCCGGAGTTAAACATCTTAGTGTTTGTCGAGGTGGTGCTGGTAGTGGTGGATGTTGTCGTCCGGTTGATGAAGTAGCCATAGGACTATCTGGTAGTGGTCGTGAACTTGACGTCGATGTAGACGGAAGTCGTGGAGGTGGTGTAGTGCGTTGTTGTTTTGTTGCGGGTTCCGCAACGATGTCGTCCGTAGCGTTCGTCTGTTGTCCGAAATCTTGCGTGGACCTTCTTTTCTCTGACGGTTGTAGTTGCGTATCCAACAGTGTTGCGAACGATGGGTTGTAGGTGTTCCGTCGTGGTGCCCATGGTGCGCCGGAAACTTTGTTCAGCAGTACGAGGTCGTAGTTGAAGTCCGGTTGTAGTCTCCGTACTCTTCGTACCCTTTGTACGCCTGATTCTGTTGCGACGTAGCTTTCTCCGGTTTCGGAAACTTTTCCGAGCCAGATGCATTTCTGCATCCGTAGATCTGCTTTCGGAAGTTTCTTGTGTTGTGGTGGAAGATAAAGTATAGTGTCTCACCAAATTCGCAGATCGCTCGCTCGTAGTTTCTTCCCCAGCGGCGTTCAAAGCTTGTGTAGCCGTCCGAGTGGATGACGTAGCGATTTACCGTCCATGCTGCGTGCCGTACTATCCAAGGTAGTAGACAGTGCTTTGTGGACATCGTCATGCTGTAGTTGCTTTCAACCTGCGCTTTGACGACGCAGATTTGTCAGGGGAGTGTTCTATGTAGTCGCTCAACGCTTCCTTGACTGTTGCTGCTGTAAGACGGTGAGTGTCGTACAGTCATTGAGCCGACTTTTGCTGCTGTAGCTTTTAGAAGTGCGTTGAGTGTGTCTTCGTTGTCGCTTTGTAGTATGCCTTGTGTTCTTCCGCACTCAAAGATGAATGCTTGTAGGTTGTTGACCATGTAGTCCATCATTGATGGTTTGTCCGGGACCATTACTGCCAT